TAAATAAAAAAAAAAGATAGAAAAAGGAAAAAAATTTATTCACAAAAAGGGAAAAATAAAATCCTATTACATATTTATAAAACTCATGTAGTTTGGGGATAAAAATGCATGTTACTTAGTTGGTAATTTTTAGAAAATATTTATTCAATTAAAAAAAGGTGTTTTTTTTTGGTGAGTTTGTATTTTTTAATACATGAAAACATATTTTGTATTTTTACTTAGAAAATATTTTTTCAAAGAAATTTCGGATTATCCTCCTTGCGAAGGTTCTCATAACCTCACATGGGAGGATAATCATTCGAGCTTGCGGAGGTTCTAAAAACCTCACACAGCTATGAAAAACCATTTTGAGATTATATGTATATATTTTAAAAAGATTTTCCATTCTATTATTTATTTATAAACATGATGCCAAAATTATTTTCTTTCTTTTTATTTCAAAAGGAAAATTTGCACAACCATATTGATATTTCTACGGACACCCCCATAATCTCACATGGTTTACTAATGAATCTAGATACCTGCGGAGGTTCTGAAAACCTCACATGGTATAGATTTTAAAAAGAGAAGCTTTTTCAAAAACAAAAAGAAAAAACACTCAAAAATAAATCAACATGAAACTCAAGTTAAACATAATAGATATGAATGAAATTATACTTGATGCTTCACTTGTCAATTTGCTAAAAAAAGAATACATTATATAATAAGCCAATAATAATTAAAAAAAACTATATACACATATTAGGAATAAGACATGAATCAACAATAGAATAAATGAAATAAAATGAAAATAAAAAAAGAAGAAAGTATATATCAAAGCGAGTATATATGGGAGATAAATAGATAAGGGTATATTTTGAACAAATCAAAGAGAAAGGGCATAGTGAGAATTAATTAAAATCATGTTGGATTCAACCCTCCAGCCATCACTACTCAAGCTTACAAATGTGATAAATAGCATAAGAGCATAGGCTTTTCTTGGGCAGAAGAAAGAAGAAGATGAACAAATAACTTTTCTCTAGTTAACCTTCCTTTCTCTTTCCCCAACTCAACTCATTGCCATGAAATAAGATGACAAAAAAGCTCTCTACCTTGCCCCCTTTTCATCGGGAAATTCTGAGTATCTTCCTCTAGCCCTTACTTCTTATTTATAGGCTCTACCTAGGGTTTTTCAATTTTTCTCTAATTTTTGTTTTTTAATCTTTCTTAATTATGACTCATAATGTAACTTCCTATTTAAGCAGCAAATCATCATCAAAATGTGATTTTTTATTTTAATTTTTATTTTTTTCAATTTTTTTACTATTATGACTCCAAAATATGTTTCTAAATTGAGGAGCCAATAGTCTTAAATGAGAAATCTTTATTTTTATTTTTTGATTTATCTTATTCCCTTCCTTAATATGTCCACCTTACATTATCTAAATTGGCTTTTAATTCTTATCTTTTATTTTATTGTTATTTATTATAAGAGGGATATTCTTATTTAATTTTATTTTTTTTATTTGTCACATGGTGGACTTCTCAAACTTAGCCTCCATGAAAGAATCAAGGAGGATATTAATCTTTTCTTTTTTTTTCTTTTTTTTTAAATTCATTTACATTTAATATTTTTTGTGGGCTCGGACAAAATTGGGTGTTCACACCTACCATGAAGGCCTTTATAATCAATAGAAAAGGTCCCAAGGGATGTTCATGAAGCTTTAAAAATCTCAGCATGGAGCAAAGCAGTCCATGAGAAAAATGGAAGCCTTAAAGAAGCATGAAACATGGTACCTAACAAAGTTGCCAAAGGAAAAAACCGCAGTTGGCTATAAATGGATGCTCACAAAAAAATACAACTGTAATGGCAGCCTTAACAAACATAAAGTAAGGCTGGTCGTATAACGTCATGAATTTTGGGTATAGAAGTATTAGAATTAGTCTAAAATGGGTAGTTTACTAGACCCTTTTTGACAAGATTTTCAAAAATTCCTTAGAAGAACGAGAGGTTTCTTAAGGACCAAATCATAAAGCAAGAGTTTTCGAGAACCACAAAAACAAGTTAGAAACTCCAAGAAAATCTCAAGGACTTGAGTATGGGAATTGGAGATGATAAAGGGCAAAAAGGTTGCACTAGGAATCTCAGTGAGATGATTCCAAAGGCTGAACCCAAGCAGGGACTTAACCGTAAATTCAGAAAGTTTCGGGCCAAAAAGAACAATGATGGAAAGTATGCCAAAAATCTTAGAAAAATTCTAAAAAATTCTAGAAAAATAGGAAAGAGGTTTTGAGGCTCATAAGGGGCTGAAAAATGATGAAAATACCCTTGAAGTAAATTCATAAAATTCCTAGGGTTTTAATTAATTATAAATATTAGCCAAAATTGAATTATTTTGAAATACAAGGAGGCCTTAGATAATTGGAGAAAGATGAAGAAAAATACTTGAGAAATTATCACAGGTTTTAAAAATGATTTCATCCCCAAAAAACAAAAAGGTTAGATTTAATGGAATTTAAAACCTAATTATACACTATCCAAGAAAAATCAAAAAAAGTTGTTTATGGGTTGACTTTTGACTTGAGAAAAATTAGAAAAATTTTTCATGATAAAAAAATAGTATTGGTACCTATAAATAGATTTTCAGAGTTATGGACCGATAGAAAGAATTTAGTCAAGTTTACTTTGAAATAAATATTATTAACTATTTTTATGAAAGATAGAGGGAAAGAAATTTCTCCCTCCATGGCAAGCATATATAATGCCATGTGAACCTAATTGTAATGAGGAAAGGGTATCAGAACATGTCTCAGAACTACCAAGTAAGTCAGGACCTGAAAAAGTACCTGATATGACATAAAATCATAAAATAAGTGGATGAATTGTCAAGGGTATAAGGGAGAATAAATTTCTCCATATTTTCCTCCCTATTTTACTGTAAATTTGATGAAGGAAAATGAATAAAATAATACACTTTGTTAAGGGTCAGGTTTAAAAGAATAAAATCATATAATAAAATATTATACTTTCTTCACATATGTGATAGGTGGCATGTGATGTGTTCTATAAAGTGACACTTTTATTGAATAAAAGAGACACCTAAAAGGATTAGGTGGTAAGAATAAAAAAGATAAGGACATATGGCCAAAGAGATTAAATGAATGACTAAGATCAAGTTACACACATTCAAAATCAAAAGCTAATATTTAAGCAAATTTTTATAAATATCTCCCCTCTCCATTTATACTAAGATTTCAGTCATGATAAGAGGAAGGGGGCAAAGATCGAAGAGGAAGAAGGAGAAGAGAAACAGTAAGGAAAACCATGCAAGATCAAGCTCCAAACATGATATGTTCATGATTTTTGATTTAGTTTCCATTATCTTTGTTGTTGTTGAGTTTGGTTATGGATTTTGTTAGATTTTGAGAGCTTGAAATCCTAAGGGGACATGCTACAAGGAATTGATAGGTTACGGAAAGATGAAATTGATATTAGAATAATATTTAAAAGTTTGAAAGGAATGAGAATCAAGTGATTTTGAGATGATTTGTGAAAGATTTCATAATTGTGTACCTAGGAATACATTTTTAGCAAGAGCTGGTTCTTGATGATAGGGCTAGATTTTGATAATTTTGATGCTTCTAATAAGTTTAGGTCCTATATTAAGGACCGGAGGAGCAGTATTTTTATATATTGAAAAACGGGTTGCTAATATTAGAACATCTCCATTTGGTTTTATTTTAAATCTATAAATTAAAGATTAATATTTTAATATTTAATTAAAGCTTAATAAAATTAACATGAGCTTCGCTACAAAAAATAACGACCGTTAGGTAACTTTAATAAGTATGTTATTTTTGCTCTATTTTTATAAATTTATGAATATTTTTGTATTAGCACTGGGAAAACGGGCCGGCTCGTCACGGGCTCGGGCTTAAACGGGCCGGCCCGTTTAAGTCTGAGTTCAAAAAATGAAGCATTTTCCAAGCCCGGCCCGTGAGATAACGGGCTCGGGCTGGCCCGCGGGCTTTTGACCCGTTTAACTAAAATGTATTATTATTATTTTTTTTGCCTATTTTATCGAAATAATAAAAATAAAACAATAAAATTACTAATAAAAGATATAAATAAATAAAAATAAGTCACAAACATAAACATCATTATGTCAAAACATCTATCACAGTGTAATAGAGTCTATTGAATGAACAAACTAAATAGAGGACAGACATAAACAACTAAATAAACACTAAGTTCAGTAAATAATTACAATATGGATGATCTTGTTTAATTATAAATAATTAACAAAAAAGTTTAACTAACAAACATAGTATACATAAAAAATAATTGTTTGTCCTACTGACAAAATAGAAAAGAGTTCATCATCCCTAGTTCTAAATTTGTTTCTAACTATAAAAATGATATAGATCTTTATTTTAATTCAAAAGATTTTTTAACCAATTCTATTTCAAGTATAAAAAATATGAAAGAATGATAAATAAAGATTGTAAAATAACACATACAGTATTTTAATAGGTTTTGACAACTTATAAATAATAACACATTTTTGTTAATATACTTAGAATTATGGTGATTTCTTTTTTGTGAATGCCATTTGTATGAGCGGTGGGGGTAAGTAAAACTAAGAGTATATTATGTGTAAAATGTTAGGGTTTTCCTTTTTAAGTTAAGAAAAAAATATAAAAATTTTTAGAAAAATATTGGCGGGCTTAAACGGGCCGGCTCGTGGCCCTACAGGGCCGGTCCGTTTATTTTTCAACCCTACAGGACTGGCCCTTTTAAGCCTGACTTCCCTTTCAAGGCTCCAAAATACAAGCCCGGCCCGTGACTTAAACGGGTTTAAACGGCGGTCCGCCCGACCGGCTCTATTTGTATCTCAACAATTTATGGTGGTGGGAGCACTTTAATAAAAGTTTTAGTATTTTTGTATATTTGCTTGCGAGGGGACAGGGGCGGAGGGCGGGAAAAAAAGGCGCGACCCTCCCGCCTCAATCCATATTCCCGCGCCCATTTCCTCTTCCTTCAGTTCTGTTCACTTTCAGTTCAGTAGGTGTCGAGCTCCATCTCTCCAGCTCTCCTCTCTCTCCGAGTCGCCAGCCGCCACCCAATCACCAATCTTCAGTCTCCCACAGTCTCACCGTTGACAAGGACACGCAGCAGAGCCCTCAACACGACGTGACCTCCTCCGTGCTCCCCGGGTCCTCTCGAGTTGGAGGACGCTGACACGTAAGTTCCCCTGGTCCCCCACTTTCAGTCTCGTCCTCGTCCGATCTCCTCCTTCTCATCTTCCCCTCCGTCGCCTCTAGCTCCCCGTATGTTTGTTTTTCTTATTTTATTTTGATTTTCGGATTAAGCTACTCTGTGTGGAATGGAATCTGAACACTGAACTTGCTTGATGTTGAAAATGCTGATCTGATAAGTGAGAAGAGAAGAGAGCTAAATTTGGGGAGAGAAAAAAAAAAAAAAACGTCAGAATGATGTTACTGATTCTTAGAAAAATTGACCAACTTTGAGATATAATATGTGGTGGAGATTCTGCATTTTTCACAGTGTTGACTTTGTGGAAGTTGTTGTTTAAGTAATTAAAAATCTGAATCAATTCAATTTCGAATCTTCCCATTGCTGCCTTTATGTTTGTTGTAATTGAACTCTTGCTGTGCTCATGTTATTTTGATTGTTGTTGAATTGAACTAGAATCTCCATTGCTTTATGTTGAAAAGAAATCCCCAAAAAAAAAAGAAAACAGAAAATATAATACTGCTTTTCATTCCTTCTCCTTCTCCTTCTCTAGTTTTTGTCCTTTTCCCTCTTTTTGTCTTGTAACTGATGTATGTGTTTCCTTATTTGTGGCTGGCTGTTTGGACATTCTTTGGTTTTCACGGGTTATTTGAATCATCATCAACAGTATTGCATCTTAGTTGTTGACTTGTATTTTACGAATATAATACTTTCCTTACTTTCATTACATTTATCAGGCTGTAAAGAATCCTGTCCGCGCTCATTTTGACGCTGTGCATGATAATGTATTTCACACATACACACACAGATATGTGTGTCTATATATATCATTGTTATATATTTGAATCATCGTCAACAAGAAGCTAAACATGTAAATTACATCTTAGGTGTTCACTCATTTGTATTTTACAAATGTAATATTTTCCTTATATTTATCAGGCTGCAAGAAATCCCTTCCACTCTCATTTTTTAAATGGAAAATCTGAAAGAGGGATTATCTGCAATGACTTTTCTTCATAAGTTATTTTACAAAATTTTCCTAAATTTTTCCTAAATTGATTTATGAACATATTTCTACGTGCTATTCATTTTGTCCTTTTCTCACAGTAATCAGTGCTTGGAATGCAGGGCTTCGTTTAATTCTCACAAGTATCTTCACAAAAAGCCTCATTTTTAGACCTAGCTTGAAGACTTGCAACTTCCATTGTACGTAGCTTACGCACTAACCACTTTGTTTCGTTAGTTCCTTCCTTGAGGCCTCACTCCTTGGTGTGTTTGCAGGTTTTGTTTTAACTTTTCTCAAGCAATGAACTTCTCACAAGATTGGAAGTCCTACTTCCCAGTTTTTTCATCTCATGCACCCTTGCTCGTTTCAGATTCTGAAGGATCCTCATTAGGTCCCCTCATTTTCAACCCCAACCCTCAATCCCTAACCCGACTTTTCTTCTCCTCTTCTCTCTTACCCCCTCCTATTCATATCCCCTCTGCCTTGCATTACAACCACCTTGAGATTCTCAAATATGGAAATGGTGTTCTTCTCTTCTTTCCAACTGGTAATAATTTTGAGCGAGTTGGCTATCTAATGGTCCATCCTGAAGGTTTAGATATGCATGTTAAACTTAATATTGATAGCATTTTTCAAGTCTCCAGCGGAGTATATGATCGGATATTAAGGATTGTAGTTAACCCAATTGATAATTGGGATGAGTCTTCTTATATTGTTCGGTATTTATTGGTTTCTACACGCTACACTGTTCATTGGTTTTCTGTATGCCGCTACGGTTTATGTTTAGAGACACCCCGTATTATTCACAACGGCGGCAAAACTTTTAAGAATTGCTCTATTGTTCACGCTTGCTGGAGTCCCCATATATTTAATGAGATTCTTGTTTTGTTACAAAGTGGAGAGCTGTTTTTGTTTGATTTAGAGCATGGCAAAGAGAGTCCTCCAAATTTTAAAGGAACTAGGTTGAAATGGCAAGGTTCGGGTTTTTCTAAAGATACTGTTTGGGTGAGTTGTGAATTCAGTTGGAATCCGAGAATTTTCATTGTAGCAACTTCTCATGCGGTCTTTTTAGTTGATGGGACGAATGGTACATATGCTGTAAGTTGTCTATTGAAGATTGAGTTGTTGCAAATGCATGCCCAAGCTCAAAATGAAAAGTTTCTGGCACTTTCAAGAGCAGGTCCTGATAACTTCTACTTTATTGTGGCCTCTAACAATTTTTTACTTTTATGTGACGTGCGAAAGCAAATGATGCCTATAATACGGTGGTCGCATGATCTTGATAATCCTACCTACATAAATTTGGTAAGCTTGTCTCAGCTAAGGTCACATTCTAGGAAAGATACATTTGATTTGGCTTCAAAAACTGGATTTTGCATCATATTGGGGTCATTTTTTAATGAAACCTTCAATTTCTTCTGCTATGGGTCTTCATTGCCATCTGAAGAAGGATCTTCTACTTTAAAGTTTTCAGAGACTAACAAGACCTTCTATGCGTGGGAGCTTCCATATGAGATTGCGATATCTGGTGATTATTGTCGTTGTGGAAGTTGTCTCCTAACAGAAGAGCTATCAAAAGAAGAGCTTCCTAGAGGGATTGACTGGCGGATGAAGAAAGACATGGTTTTGGGGTTTAGCATTCTGGACATTGATCTTGCCTCATGCTGTGAACAAGATGAGTATGGTGGTTTTACTTTGATAAGACTAATGTCATCAGGAAAGCTTGAATTACAGAGATATCAAGCGTCTTGGGCTACTAATAAAAGGTTGAAAAATTGCAATGGACAGGGGGTGCATTTCAATAGATATTTGTTTTCTGATGGTGATGAGAAATACAAGTTTCGCAAGAGTTCTGTGTTCCTGAAATTAGACTACCTTTGTTCATATTCAGAAGGTAACCTTACTAAACTCTTGGTTGAAAAACTAAAACAGAAGAAACCACTTGTCAAGGATGTGCATGATGAGGCCTTGTGCGAGAGGCTGAAAGCTTGTAGGGTTGGCTTCTCTGGATCTTCTACAACTATTGCTTTATTTGAAGATGTAAAGCCATCATCAAGCCTCTATGAGGTTGCTATAAGAGGATTGTGGGCTAAATTGCCTTTGCATATATTACAACTGGCATTTTCAAAGTCTCAAAAATCCTTTGCATCTTTGGAATTTCTAGCAGTTCCACATCTTGATAAATTACCTCCCTTTTTCTTGAGGAAATCGTCGCCCCGCAGCAATAAGTGTTCTAACAAGGTTCAGCATAATGATGATAATAAGAGTTCCGATGAGGTTCAGCATAATGATGATAACAAAAATTCCAATGAGGTCCAGCATAATGATGATATTGGGGATCCAGCATCCGATTCTTCCTCTTGCTTTTCTTCTTGTGCTTCATAAATTTTACGAAGGGTCTTCTTCAGATTGGGAAGATCATAAATTTTCAGTAGAAGAGGAGGTTAAGCTTCAATGCAAAGAAGTTATGAAGGTGGCCAATAAGATATCTGTTTCAGCTCTTGGTTCTGAGTTTGATGATCTTGCGGTATCCCCTGATGATGATGCAGAAGAGACATGGGTTGATTCTTCTAGACCAAAACATTTCTTGCTTTATCGTCCTAATATATTTGAATGGCTTGCGACGGATCTTCGCAGGAACTTTATTTCTCAGTATAAGATTCATCACACATTAATTTTTAATGCTGTGGAGAACAAGGCTGTTTCCAATGAGAAGTCCGAGTCAGTGGGTCAAGGGATATCTGATGATGCTATTCACTCTACTGAGTCGACGTCTAATGCGAAATTTGGACATTGTGATTTGAGGGCATTTAATCTATTAAAGACACATATGTTTAAATGGAAGGAAGGCTTCAACTCATTCCATTCGCACTGAAATCCAAAAGGCAACCAGCAAGTGACCCCGCCGCGCACTATGCTCCAGGTTGATTTTTGTTGACAGAACCTGAGGTTATTTCTTCACCAAACTATAATTATTTCTAACTAGTGATAGATTGATAACCATTTATCTACAGCACTTATATGGATATGGTTTTTTTTAATTGTTGTTATACTGTGATGCATAGGATAACAAATTATGTCATTTTATAATTTTACAATTGCATTGGGATTTTGGGAATTGTGTTGTTGATTTACTTATTATATATTTAATGGTATTAATTTGTTATCAAAAGGGGCAAATTATTATGCTGGTTTATAAGTTACAGACTCAGAAGAACCTAAACTAGTATATTGCTTGAATATTTTGCTGATGTTATTAATGCATAGATGCATAGATGCAAATCAAGAATATTATCTTTTTCCTGCATGATAGTTAAAGCTTTTGAGTGTATTTGAAAATAGATCTTCTCAAAAGCTTTCAGTCGCTATTAATTAATTTACGATGCTGCTAATTTCATTCCTGCTATATTACGCTACTTTTGGCTTAGTAGCAGAGGGTTTAAATGTTCTTTTTCACGCTTTTATTTGTGTAAACAAACAGAATGAATGTTCAACTTTCTATATACTTGATGAGAATATTAGTTCATTATTAAAATTACATTTGCCAAGAATACTAGGGTTCATTCGTAGCATTATTTTTCCTCTGGGATCTTGCAAGCACAATGAACATATATGTAGTTTCCTGTCGTCTATAATTGCAATATGTTTTCCTTGTTTATAGTTGCTTCGAACCTTATAAATATGGACTATTCCGTTATGCTCAACTTTTGATTAATAGTAGCTAGTATATTTTTTTTATAAAGTTTAGTACTTTCAAATATCTAAAGTTCTTTTTCCTGGACAGATTTTAGGAGTTGCCACATTCGGAAACAGGCCTTTAGCCGACTTTTGAAATTTATGCATTGTGCGGGGACGTACAAGGAGAACGAATGCGTATGTATGAAGACTTGTAGAATTTTGTTGGTCTAGATTTTGTTGCTTAAGCATCAATTTGATGCTTTTTACTTATTTAGCTTAATGTAATTTGGCTTTTAAACTGTCCTGATGTTTATAGCTGTAACTTTGGACAATTTGTACACGTTGTGGCACTGATTGTAGTTTCAGTTTACATCATGACCTTATTTAGCATAATGTATGAAGACTTGTAGAATTTTGTTGGTCTAGATTTTGTTGCTTAAGCATCAATTTGATGCCTTTTACTTATCTAGCTTAATGTAATTTGGCTTTTAAACTGTCCTGATGTTTATAGCTGTAACTTTGGACAATTTGTACACGTCGTGGCACTGATTCTAATTTCAGTTTACATCATGACCTTGTGAATGGATTGCGGAACAATTCATATATAATTGAAGGATTAACGGATTGGTTTATTATTAAGTTGATATTTAACAAAATTTCATTTTCAGTCATTGTGATTTGTGAGCTCCATAGTCAATATAAAATTTTGATTTACCAGAGGATCAATCCTGAATAGTAAATGTTTAGTTCGTTACAGAATTTAACAATGATAAATCATCAATAGTGAAAAGTGTCAGTGTTAAATAATAGAAGCCTAGGTAGCAACCGAATGCTTCACTCCATCTCTAATTCTGTATCGTTCCTTAAGCTAACTTATATCAATCCTGCTATTCTTATTGTCTCCAGCAGTATTGGCCAATCGCAAAATCTATATATAAATAAACCACTTGCTACGTCACTACTCACTATATATGTAGGTTCAAAATGATCCTACATAATGTTTACTTCCTCTGTAAGAGGCATAGATATTTCAAATTCACAAGACTAGAGGCTTTTGGTTGACAAAGGTATCGAAACATTTGAAATAACCAAACTGAAATCCGAACAGGATTAGGCAAAAGGCACACCTGAAGAGCACAGCAATGGGACAACGACGGATGAAAATGCTAATGAGAAGAAAAGCTGTGGCAGTGCCGAACGAAGGGATGAGTATGTGAAATAAGCGCGTTAAAGAGATGAGAATGAGTTTAGGTCTTGTATTTACATTATTTTAATCTTTGTGGTCCCTAATTAGAACAAGTGGCTGATGTTATGTTATGATGATTCGTTTATACCCCAGCTTTTTATATTTAATATTTTCATTTAATAATAAATATTTTTTGTTATACATTAAATAATAAATGCTTTTTACTTTTTTTCATGTTAAAAGTTGGGCTTTATGTTCTAGAGAAACACAAAGCCCAGGCCCTGACAAGTCCACCGAAAGAAAATGACTAGAAGTTGGGCTGAGAACTAAAACGGACAAGTCCATAACCACAGCAAACCAAAGAAAGCCCAGGTTTGGGGATTATTGCCCAGATCGTTTGCGGAAATTGTATCACAAAGATGGTTTAGCTTTTTCACTTGCTTATGGTTTGGGTGCGATTTCTAGCCCTCTTCTACAAATCTACGGTGTTTTAAACAAATTGATACCCTAGTTCTAATTTTTTCACTGTCGGTCTGACGGCCCACTTTTCTAATGTGGAGTGTGGGCCCACATTCTCTTTTACTATCCAAAAACTAAAAATAATATTACCTCCAGTTCTTAAAATACCATTACTAATCAAGTGTATTGGATATCTTAAAAAAAATAGATAAATATGAAAACAAATATATTGGGATTTTATATTTAGAACCAAAATAAAAATCAAATGAGTTCTCATATTAAGGATTGAAGTTAGTACTAGACACCTAATTGACTAATTTGAAAAAATTTAAAAAGTTATTAAGTTACTTTAAAATATTTATATTTATTATTTTTCTCTAAACATTTTGTTTCACTTATAATAATATATATAAGTATTTTAAAGTGGTCATGAAATGTATGCTATAATTAACTAATTTTATAACTTCTTTAGTTTTCTTAAATTAGTCAATTGAGTCTTATATTAAGAAGGAGAAGTTGCAATAAGAAGAAAACTTACCCCTGCGCTGCCAAGGACTGAAATATTTGTTGATCAAAACATGAGCATGTGCGCTATCAAAATTAAGATTGAATGAAACGCTTCTTTAGAGAAATATTATCAAAAGAATAAAAGTTGAAAATGTGTGGAATGATAATATTATTTTAATTATGATCGATTTGATCCCAACTTAAACCACTAATCCTTGACCCACTACTTGACTTAGTGCTGGTAATGAGGGTTGGCGGTGCAGATACGAGCCAACCCGTAGCGGTGCGAGTCAAAAGCAGTGCAAATACAGGCCAACTCGTAGCGGTGCGAGTCGAAAGTGGTATGGGCTGAAGTAGCTCACACCTTACTAGGCTGCCGGCCCGCCTAAATGTTTTTTAAAAAAATTATTATTATTTGTATAGGTTGAGCTTAGTTTGAAATGTTAAAATTGGACTTGGAGTTTTGAACTTGAGTAGTAGGTTATAATAAAATAATATGAAGATTAATTTATAATTTGAGAAGATATTTTAGAAAAATCAACACATATTTTTTCTAAATAATTAATTTGACTATTTTTCTTATCCAAATTAATTAAATAGATATTTTATGTGTGTATTACATATGCAGTTACATGAATAAGGCAATGTCAATGTAGAATTCAAGAGTCAAAATTCTTCAACTATGTTGTCTAATATATTAGGAATTGCATGAAAATAAAAATTAAAAAAGAAAGAAAGAACAGCGGGCTCGCCGGCCAACCCATGGGCTCAAAGCGGTGCGGGATTGAGTAGCCCGCACCTTGGCGGGTTGGTAAAAGCCCGCCAAAAATGGCAGGCTCAACTCGCAGGCCTAACCCATATTACTAGCTCTAGCTTGACTAGTTTGATGACTTGTCCGATTTTTTACCTTGGCATAGATGTATTTCTCTTATGTAGAGCTTAGGAGGATAGATCAAACTATCTCTAATTTTTAATATAAAAGCTAGATAACTAATTTGAAAAGGTTTAGAAAATTAGATTAATTAGTTAATTGTAGTAAATGTGTATTACTTCTCTAAACTACCTTCTTTAATCATATGCATTGAATATATTTGTTGATAGGAATTCTTTACAATTAGTAGGGATATTTTAGTGAAAACATTGTAGACTTAGAAGACAAAATTGACTGATGTCTTCAATTCATGATTGATCTAACCCTTTAACTAACTCTTATATTAAGAATAAGAAGTAGTGCCATCTTATTGTTGGATTGCATTTTTATCCATGTGACAACTGCGATAATGATTTTTACAAATGGAAATAACTCAATTGAGAAACATTGTAATTTAGTTCAAAGCATCTCAAAAATGTTTGTAAAGTCGTCCTTCTAAAGAATAATTTTATCTACATTATGTTAATGAATAATTTTCATGTATAGTATTTTGGTAATTTTTTTTTTACTATTTATAGTATTAGGCTACAAAAGCCCTATATATAAATGATTCTCCTGTAGGTAAATATTGGTGCAATTTCAGTGCCAACTTTTTTTTAAATATTTTTTTTCATAAGGCATATGGCATCAATATTCAATAAAATAAAATTGAAGAAACATAAAATCTTATTACCATACATTTTATTTTATATTTAGAATTAATTAGATACTTAATTTTTAAATTATTAATTATTTACTTTTTTTAAAAAAATTTTGGGCTACGTATAGGTATCCTCGTATTTAAGACAATCTTATTTGAGGCATTTTCGGGTATTAGATAAGGACACCTCTTCCAGTGGGAATTTGAACATTAGTTCTCTACGTTGTGAGGGACTAGTCCCTTCTATTAAACCTAGCCCCACTGATAGTTTTTTGGGAAAAAGACACTAAAGTACCTTAGAATATGCTAAAGGACAAATCATGATAAGTTAAATTTCAAAATCCCAAATAAGACCCCTTGAACTATTTTGGAATTTTAAAATATTGAAAACCACAACATTGCCCTTACTTTCATTGACTATTTTCTCATAGCTACTAATTACTTTAGTTTAATTATTGACTACTTTTGCTTTCAAAGTTCTGATGATGACTTTTGTATAACTATTGACTATACAAAAATAGTAAATAACTAAACAAAAAGTAGTCACTAGGTCTCCAACAACATTTAATGCATTTTTTTTAATTTTTGAAAAAAAAGTAGTCAATAGCAAAACTAGAGTAGTTAATAGCTAAAAAAGAGTAGTTAATATGAAACATCCTACCTTTATCCTCTCAGAGTACGCATTTGTAAGCGTGATGGTTTAAGCAGATCAAAGTATAAGCCTGTGGATTAAAATTTTCAACATAATTACTCGGGTTACTTTTCACTGTTTAAACTCCAGATTTCAGATCCAACTTTGAAAAATCATAACTAATTCTACAAAAATCAGAACAGAGCGATTCCAATTTTCACTTAAAGCTCTTTCAATCTTCTACAAGGGAAAAATAACTTTCAGGGCTCAAACCTTGCCAATTAGTACAGTTTATTCGTTAAATATTACTGTTTAAGTGGTCGAAACAGTACTTTCCAGAAATCCTGTCTTGACTTTGAACAGCCATATCTCTTAGCATACACATCCATTTTTCGTGATTTACCACTTATTTTAAAGCTTAGGATGTGTCCTGTATAGTAAATTTCATGGCTAAATTCATTCATTTGGTTTGCCTCATCATTGGCACCAATTCGTGACTCATTTAGGGACATTCTATCCCTTCAACTTAATTCAATCTTTATAAACAATTTATTTCTCCACCTCTTGTCATGCTATAAATCCACATAATATCTCCATACATAATCTCATACCATTTTACATATCATGACATTTAATATCATCATTCCACATACATGGCATATCAAACATAAATTGATAAACTATGTTACATAACTTAACATGTTATAAGACCATAACATGTTCTTGACTTCTTCCATCAATCCTGCATTCCTCATCCTTGACTTTTCCTCCATGCCCTTTATACCTATTAGGGGTTGTTAAGGGAGGGTGAGATTCGGGAGAATCTCAGTAGCAAACACTACCCATAAGCATGCAAGACATAATGCAAATGCACGACATGTTATCATAACATCATCATAGGAATGCCATGGAAAGTAAGCTAAAGCATTTTATGCTTTCATAACATATTGCCAAGGCAAAACATAACATAAACTTGCCAACATAACTTTGCAACATTTCATCATAGCTTAGTCACATCATGGCAACACAATCACATCATGCAAGCATACATATCAAGCACACAGTATAGGTAAGTTCACTACCTTGTAACATAGCTTCCCTCTTGCTTTCCGTTTGCTTCCCCTAACCTTCCAAGTGTTTGAGCCTTCGTTTGACATAAACAAGACATCCCCTTGGATGTTCCAAGGTCCTAAACACATCAACACATTACGCGAAA